GTACAAGAGGGGAAGTGAAAGCATGCCCCCTTGTTTGTCGACATAATACATAGCTGTAGTATTGTCCATGGTAACCTGGACCGCATTGCCAGCAATGAAAGCACGAAACACCTTGAAAATGGCCAGCAACTCCAGGTTGTTGATGTGGAGAAGCCTTTCTTCTCAGCGACCATGTTGTGTACATGTGAAAGTCCCTGCAGTGCGCTCCCCAACCTATAGGACTGGCATCGGTTGTCACCTGTGATGTCAACAAAAGCGGTGCAAAGGCGTGACCCATGAATAAGTTGGCAGGAGTGATCCACCACTGAAGCTGGTTGGCAAGCTCATAGGTAACCTGCAGGCCCATGGTGGGTGCATAATGAGGGGGATTGATCGTCTCTAATTATCTGTGCCAATAATTCAATTATCATTGTAAATAGTACTGGAGATAAGGGGCAACCTTGTCTTGTACCTCGGCCTAGGTGTATTGTCTCAGTTATACCATCATTGACTATTACTCTGGCTATATTCTGTAAATAAAGTTGGTGGATTATCTGATTAAAATTAGGACCAAACCCTAAATAATTAATTAATATATTTAACGAATCCCATTCCACTGAATCAAATGCTTTGAATATGTCTAATGATATTACTCCCGCCTTGGAATTACTTTCTTTTGCTAGGTGCATTAAGTTAAGTACCCTCCTCATTAAATCTGACATATGCCTGCCTATTGTGAATCCATTTTGATCATTTTCAATATATTTCCACATAAAACTATTCAATCTCTTTGCCATTATTGCCGTAAATATCTTAGCATCCTGATTTATCAGTGATATGGGTCTCTATGCTTCCATATTTATAGGATTTTTATCTGTTTTCAATATTAAAACAATGAGTGATTCTCTCCATGACAGTGGGATTTCTTCTCCCCTTAATATCTTATTAAATAACTTTTAATTTTGGTATGAGAATCTTTTTAAATACCTTATAATAATCTGGGCCTAATCTGTCTGTTCCAGGGGTCTTTCCTGCCTTTAAATTATTTATAATATCCTCTATTTCTTTATCCGTAATCAGCTGTTCCATTATGTTTTTATCCTCACCCAAGACTTTCTTATTAAAATTATTTTTTATGTACTCTTCAATTTTTATTATAGAAGGATTTTTACTATTATATAAGGTTTTATAAAATGTTTGGAAAGTTTCCAATTCCTCTTTCATTTTATTACATCTTTTTGCATTCATATTTTGTATTACACCTTTTATTTTATTCTTTTATAGAAGACGTTTTAGCTAGAAGATGTTTTAGCTAGTAATTTAGAATTCTTATTACTATATTCAAAAAAATTCTTTTTAAATAAATTAAATTTCTTTGTACCTTTTCCAAATGAATTCCTTCCAAATCCTTCCTCTTTGCTTGTAATTCTATTTTTGCTTTTTTATCTCTAGTGTTTATAACTATTTTTTCTAATTCCTTTATATTATCTTCTAATTCCCGTATTCTTTTCCTCTGGTTTTTCTTAAGTGTGTACAACATCTTACATGCATACCCTCTTGCCACAGATTTCATTACATCCCAAATTACCTTATGGAGTGCCCATTTAGTATCTGTGTTTGTCTGACCCTGACACTTCTTTATTAAAAGAAAAATGTTAGATTACTACTGATCTAATCCGTAAAAATCAAAAGTGAACAGAGTGCTATAGCTAACAGACTTTATCCGATTACAAATTATCAGAGAGAAAGCAAAATATGAAAGCTCTGGGTTCTCCCAAAGTGACAACTGCAAGCAAATGTTTTAAGGAAATGATTGCAGATTACTTGTATATTACATCAGGCATATGTTTGATAAATACAAAACCTGGGAGCATCTTTTTATACAGACAATTGACTAATATGAACAGAATTGATAAACTTAAACAGGAATGCATGTATATCCGCACTGTCATGAAAACTACTAAAACTATTTTCCTAGTAAAATATTAGTACAGTGGTGCTGATAGATAGGGGGCAAGGATGAGGTTCTGATATAACATATACGAAGTACTGGCTTTACAATTTAAGACAACACATGCTATTTGATTCACATGTGCTTGGCATTCATAATCAGCATTTTACATAAGTAATCATATCTTGTACCTGTAATTGAAATATGATTTCACGCATCTGTACCTTATATGCATTTTGTATAGTCAAGGCATTTTTGTATCCTCATTTCACCTCAAAGTAACTGTCTCTTCCCGCTTGGCGCTCACAGAAACATTCCCAAGGCCAACTCAGAAGACTGTAACATGTTTCAAAATAAACAATGGTTCATACATTCACAAACTTGGCAGCCACTAACCCTGGGATGCATTTTTGGATATTTTTCTCACATCTACCACGGCCAATAGGATGAGACCCAACACGCATACATAGGGTTCAGAAGACCAATAAGGGGATGCTGGGCTTATTGTATTTTGTGTAAGAATCTTATAAAATGTTTTTTTCCATTAATGATGGGGCTCCCGATCTGCCTTTTAAGACAGGAGTCCAGCTATATGTTTAATAAAAATAACAATTGACTCACATATAGTCTGATTGATGCACTATTTTTTATCTGTTATTCCCTGCCGGAGAAATAAAACCTAAAATTGAATGGTAACAGTGCCTTGCAAGACAATTTTAATTTGTTCCGCGAAAATCGTTGTCACACACCCCCAGTTCCCCTGTTTGTTCTTCTACACAACCCAGGTTCACTTTCGGGCACGACATTTACTTTTCAACCCTTTTCGCTGCCATCAGAGGATTTATTCCTCACTCTATCAAATATGACTCTTAAATCACAGTTATCCAATATAACAATGTTTATTTATGTGTTTATAAGTAAATCATATAAAGTGAATCATGGATAGTCTTATTTTATTCACTCAGTAAACTGTGCTTTGATAACATTGATATTTGCTTCTGAAGAATTATTTTAATCAAGGTATTTATTCATTTCTTATCTTATTCTCTACCTCTCTTCTCTAACACATTTCTGGTCCTAACTACCTAAACTGCTTCTATCAAACTGACATCCCTAACTGAAGTCCCTAACTGATCTCCCTAACTCATATCCCTAACTGGTCTTTAATTGTCTTCCATTCTCTTCTTACATTTTCTTAGTTCTGCCCCTTCCGCTCAACCATTGGTTGCTAGTTCAGGGTTCCATTATGATGGACAGGAGTGGTTACTGACCTGTCCGTCACAATCGTCTTGTGAAAAAATCATCTTACGAGGTTCCCTATGCATCAATCTAAAAAAAAATGTCTTGTGAAGCATCGTTCTCAAAAAGTCTTGAGAAGCAGAGTCATAGAAAAAAAGTCTTGCGAGGCACCATAGTGATTGCAAAAACCAATTGTCTTGCAGGTTTTTCATGCCACGAGGCAATCGTCTAGCGAGGCAACACTGTACATATATCAATATGCACTATGCTGCAATACTACAGAGCAACTATCTGTCCTTCTTGGTTCACATTTTGGAAAACAATGTGGTTATTTTCTTTGCATCAGGCATTTATTCACAATCCATACTGTACTATAACCCCCCAAAATGAGGCTTAATTCCCACATTTGAAAATTATTGTCCCTCAGACTTCAGTTATGAATGAATGCTTTATTATGGTCAAAGACCAGCAAAACCAAATCAATATAAAATAAATAGTATATGTAGTTCAGTAACCATAGATACAAGAGCCCTGTGGTGCAAAAAATTATTCTTCTCCTCCCAATTAGTATTTCACTCATTCTATAAATCATAGCCTCCCAACCTGGGGACTGTGATTCCCAAGGAAGTTGCAAAATGTTTTCTGGAGGATAGCCATGGTTATTTTTGGTTGCAATTATTTTTATATTTCTTATGTCATATATGGTATACACAACACTGTTTTATTTTAATCCTCTTGACCCACAGAGGCAACCTAGAGTTCTCAGTTATTTCTGTAACTCTTTGGGTAGATTTTCCTTTTATGTATGGGTATTATCCTACCCACTCTGAAAGAGCCGCTCTTGCTCATTTCTCTCCGCTCCTCCACATCCACCTTTGGAGGACTGACATCAGCCCTTTGGACCTGAGCATTACCCAGTTCAAAGACACCTCAATGAGGCAAATGCACGGTACAAGCGAGGAACACCAACACCCAATATGGTGGCAGGATTGAACAAATGTTGCTGTAGTGGCGGCAGTCTTGCCTTTTCCTCTGCCTGAGTCTCCTGCTCCTCTGGGTGGGTGATAGCAGTACAGTGAAGGGAGAGTGGACCTGGATGGGGAGATGCCTCCAGGCCCCATCTAAGTCATGGAGGAGAAAGGCAAGAGGGGCAAAAAAGGTGAGGCAGTAGAACTGGGGAGGGGATTAGGCCCATGGGTGTTTGTGTTTATTTGGGCTCTAGAGGGAGGGACTCTTCACTTAGGGAGCTTTTTTGGGGGGGAAGACACGTGAAGGGTCGTTTCTACCTCCAAAAAAGTAACTTAAACTCAAAGTATATTGATATTTTTTTCTCCTTTTCAAATTTTATTTGGTAGAGGCAGATTTACAGCCCCCACAATAATTATGTATTATTACATAAATATTTAATATATTATGTTAGAATTATATTGTGAAAAATCTATTTTAATGCGTTTTCTTTATCCCACTAAAATGCCTTTTTATACAAATACAGTGCAGACTGCAGGTCACTTGGCTATTATAAAAGGGGGCTGCAATTTGAAAAAGGTTAGGAAGCACAGCAGTAAATCCTAACTACCAGATGAAACAGTTCATGAGTTTAAACAGAATGCTTGCCTTGAGAAGCCTGTTGGCTAGCAAACGTCCCAGGTTTAGATGGCTATCAGAGTTCTAGCCTTCTCTAGCAGGCATCAAATTACCAAGGCACCAGTGGTCACATGGCAGAGCAAATCTGCACTATGATAGGCTTTTAATACATGGTATAAATATAAATGCCCTAAAGGCAGAAAAATCTAGTCCAAAAAGGTAAAAAATATATATTCAAGAGTTCAGCTGGAATATACAACACACACACACAACTGATTTATTAAAATTGACATCAATATAAACTGACATTAATATAATATATTCCAATAAATGTTTTATCTACAGGGCTTTAAGAACAGCTGTATTGGTCAGTGTCTTCTCAATCTTGACATTAATAACCTTCAATTCAGTGCATAGTTAAACTGGTTTGCAAACTTTTCATGCTTTCTTTGATCCATTTGATTCATTGCTTTCACCACCCGCTTCACTGCAGCTCTGTAAGAAAAGCAAGACAAGAGGAAAATAATAACCATACTAAACCACTACTCTATGCAAATGTCTGCAACACCTATATGAGTTTGTTAGCAAAAATAATGAAGTGGGCATGATTAATTACTAATCAAGCCTCAAACACTGCACTTATGATGAAGCAGAACAAATTTATTATGTTAACTAAATTAGCTACAGCAATACAAACAGTTTTAATTTAGCAGTGAGCTCATTAACAGAAATAAACAAATGGAAGTCTTTCAGCATAATGATCATGCACTTTCTACCATTTACAGTCACATCCATTTGAGGCAATCACTTGGGTGAAATTTTATACATTGCCTTAGGAATATAAACTTATAGATGCTACTGTTTATGACCTTCTACTCATCAGTAAGTGTCTTGGAATTAGGTGAATGTGAAATGTTTGTATGCTATGATGGAATGAATCATAACAATGCAAGCAAGTTACACATGAAACTGTACCAAAAATGATTTTAAAAATCAGTTAACAGCAACCCTAAGGTGCAAAGAGAAGCATTAAAATAGCTGTTGTGGCTTGATCAACACCCATCCTGGCATTCATTATATCCTACAAATGTAGTAAATTATTTGTTAGGAACATCCTGAATCTCCTGCATGCAATAATTTCCAGAAACAACTTATAGGGATGTGCTGATAAGAGACAATAGTTGCCACTTCCCACCATCACACAAAATGAAAGATCCAAATCCATTTTAACATTTGCTATCGCAGTAAGAACATGTGTGAATTACTGGAGAGAAGTGGGAGGAAGAAACATGAGGGGTGGCGGTGGGATTTCTTTCCTCCGACCTGAAATGGAGTAATTGGAAAACTCGAATTTTGAGGAAAACCTTGCCTTACAAAACCTTTTACACATTCCAGAAGAGAAAATATTTCATCTGAGTGTGAGAGTTGATTCCCCAAAGTTTCAAAACTGAAACTCTATCCTTGGAACACACAGAAATAAACTGTTCCCTCCTGAATTTTTCAACTTTTCCCCCCTCATATTTTTAGGGAAGATACTCCTCTCAAAACTGAAGATATGAGTATCTGCTCATTCTACTACTATATTACACTGTGTTAACTATTCCGTTTTCTATGACTTTTTCCTTATGATTTCTATGACAATTACATTTTTGTTTTGAAACACACATCCTCCATTGCTGCTTGAAGCTTTTGAAGTATATAGTGTTTCTCGGTCAATAAAATAAAACACTTGCACTTACTAGAATACTGGTTAAGTTTTAATTTTTTCTCCTGTTTTCCATTTACAGAAATAGCTAATAAAGAACCTTACTGGTAAAGTACCACTCCAATTTCAATATTGGGTATATCTGTAATATTTATTTGAATAAAGTTGCTTACTTTTATTTTAGAAATAAGAAAAAAGGCAAAGACAAGTTTATGTTCTACGTTTCAAGTAACACAGGGCCAGTGCAATGTAGTGGTTAATGCTGGGCTGCTGGGCTAGGACATTTTCCTGTTCTGCCACAAAGCTGACAGGGTTTTTGAGAGGATAATAGAGGTGGGGGAGAACTGTGTATATTATCTTCAGTATTTCATGTTCTTAATGTTCTACAGCTAAGAGCTGATCATATTTTTCTCTTCAAAGACTTTAATCTTTCTGAGCATCTTATCTCTAATTTAGATGTATAGTCAGCTCTGGACCACTTGCCTGGAACTACGTAGATATGGCTTTACTTGCTCTACCATGGAAATAAAGGAAATGGGATGAGTTATTTATGAACTGAACATAGTTAAATAGCATAACCACCACACAACGGTTGGCAGCAGCATGGTCAAGAAATCAGGTGTCCACTATTTCAGTCCATCTGTTTCTCTCACACTGAACATACACAGGTTGCAGTTGCGAGCCAAAGATGAAGCTTGTTTTATGAAGTGACAATCTTCAGTCATTAAACCTTTCACAATCAAGTCTTTCAAGGAAGATCCTGCTACTGGGGCCACATTCTGCTTAAGCTTGGCACCACGTTGTCCGAGTGGTGTCATGATTATTTTGAGAGCCTTGGCCACATTTTATTCTTGCACCTCCCAACAATTTTACTTTCACACTATTTTAATGTATGTGTGCAATATTTCTCATATGCTTTTAAAATGGTGGATTTACAACAATTAAGATTATTAGCACATTAAAGAAGTGCCCCTTTAAGTAAGTTTACAGGAGCACTGCTATAAAAGAATGGCAAATATTTGGTCAGGGTTTTGGATCTGGAATGTTATTTAATTGGTAGGAGAAAAGTGAGTCTTTAGCACGGCCACAGTGGCCTTGGCACTTTCATGTCATGTAGGTTTTACATTAGCACCACTGGCTTGTGAGATACTGTAAATGAAATGAGATCCCACTCTGATGATCTGTGTGCAATTTCACTTAACTTTATTGGCAGACTGGAGCCTGGGTTTATCACCTGCACATTTCAAGTAATTTGGGGCTGTTATATAAAGCCAAGGTTATCATCTTGTTTAGTGCTGCAAACTATGAAACCTATTAAAATATGACAGATTGGATTCCCACGCCTGGCACTAACACACATTCAAAATCATTAGCACGAAGCACAGTAAACTAAAAACAACTTTTAAAATTTATTTTCTAAAGCTGACGTGAAATTCCTGCTTATTAGAACTTTATGGCTTATTGACTCTTCAAAATAAGACCAGATAATACAAGATTGTCATGGACAATGTGCTGTTCTGCAGGGAGAAGAAAACCAATGTGAGTTTTCATTACACATAACAACCATTACATCAAGACAAGAAGAGTAACACAATTTTTAAACAACGAACATCCCTTGAACTGGCTGATTCAGGCCTTTGAGGTTATACAACATTGTAAGTACTTATATATATATTTTTTGGAACAAAAGGTTTTTTGCTTCTTGATTCAATTGTAGTTGCTTTCATCCACTTATCTTGAGCATGTCAGACATTGGTCTATTCGTAATGGTTGCAACACAGATGATGGCTTCAAACACTGCTGACCCAAGCAGGAGTTGGAACAAGTAACCATGCAGACCACCAGACTTTTATTTTCAACTTCCAAATTTAATCCTGCCTTTCCATTCCCTATGGGAGGGCCTTCCATGCTATCGCTATACATTTTTGGCAGTGGCTGGTAGTGATGTGGAAATTCTTTATACAATGAATTAGATCTGCATTATTAGCTCCTTGTCCATTGACACTACTGAGCAGACCAGTCACAAGGATGTAGTTTTAAGCATTAGATAATGAACACAACCTTGGTAAACAACTGATGTTTAATTCACAAGATGGAAGTCCAGTGATGCATATGAATGTACAAGATATATAAAAATGTATTCAGGCAAAAGGTCCAGATCATAATGCAATACAGATGATGCAAAACTAGCTCCCATGAACAGGGGCGAGCTGGAGAAATGTTTCCCTCTTTGTGGATGCTGCCACTGACTCTTCTGCAAGGTTCTCTGATGTGTGCTGCTCACGCACATCAGGGATAATCCAGACCTGTACAAATTGATTTAATGTTTCTTAATTGTTTTTCCCTTTCAAGAAAGATGAGGAAGGTACTACTCAGATCCTTGAAACAGTGCTTAAAGTATAGAGCTACTCTGTTCTGAGTGTTGCTCTTTTCTATATCAGAAGTACATCTTCTCCAGGAAATCTTATTTTAAAAGACAGAAGGTGCTTGGGAGAACCTTCCATATCTGGGAGACAGAAGGACCTTCTCCAGAAGGTTCTGTATCTTGGAATCCAAGTAAATGACTCCAGAGGTATCTTCTCCAAGTATCACTGCAGAACAGCCATTTTCAACTTTTTTGGCCATGGCCATAAACACAATATAAAAGAAATATAGGTTGAATCAGGAATGTATAAGCCACTTAATGAACCTTATAAGGTGGTGTGTGAAGAATTGATTCTAATCTATGCCCCCCCCCCTTCAAATGTGCAAGACATTCTTATTCAAACTGTCTGTCACATTGGAGGCCTCATTCAAGGCTGCTCTTATAATCTTTTTTTCTTTTTAAAAAATATTTTTGTTCTTTTGGCTAAGTAGCAAGAGAAACCTTTTCCAAACAGTTGTAAATCAATCTGGAGGAAAAAAGACCAGATGATGCTACTACTACAGAATATCCTCACCCACAACAACCAGCTATTTTAAGAATACTTGTGGGGAAATATGAGATGATTCTGGTTTAAAATTCCTTCACTCACAGCAAGGAAGGGAGGCAAGGCAATCTGCTGATTTACAACAGTCTAGCTGATGACTACAGGGCTTATAACCAGGGAAATGATGCTGGGCAAGTACAAGTTCTATCCATATTGTCAGAAATTTATAAATTCTATTAATTATAAAATGAATAATACTTCGATCAATATGCAGTTTAGCAGAACAATTCCATCCACTGGAGCTCAGAGGCTAAGAGGAAGTGTGTGTATATGAAAGTTATGGTGTCAGTGAACAAAATGTCTTAGGTTATGGAGCATGTTTGCCACTTATGTAGCATGGATGCTAAGCCTATACGTACATTACAATTTTCATGCTTTGTAGTGCATGAGTAAAACTGAAAGTATCCCAAACATACTGAAACAGCTTTATAATCCTACTAATGCACATTGCAAGTGAATAGAGAATGCCCTTTCAAAAGGAAAGGGTAATAAGATAACAGTTTGCAGACTAAGGACACAATCTTTTCTGTATATGGAAAACCACACTCTGAAGAGGGAACACAGCAAATCAAAACTAACCTAATGCAAGAGATGAGGAATTAGAAACAAATGAGCAAGTCTCTTACTTATTGAAAACTTTCTTCTCCAGGCGGGAACGACAAGTGTTTGCCTGTTGTTTCAGATCTACCAGCTTGGGATATTTCTTCTTTCCTTTGGTTTTTCCTCCTTTTCCTTTCCCACTATACCGAGAAGATCCAAGATCAGCCCCTGTGGATGCTTCAACTTCCCTCATGAATTCTGGATCTTGCCATTCTGACAAAGGAAAAAATCCATTAAAAGGTTTCAGCACTCACTCCTAAATCCATATGTTTTCAGAATGTCATAATCAAACAAAAACTTACTAAATTATTAAAATGACTGGCTGTTGTGGTTTGTCTGTCTACAATGTTCGGGCAATTTGGAGCTTAGCCTCACAATTTCCACATCAGAAAGTAACTGATCCTGGTTCAAAATCAGAAATCTAATTGTAAGACAGATATTAAAGGAAAGTCTCTGTCTTCCTCAAGTACTGTGTCAAGGTTCCTCAGGTCAAGGCCCACACTAACCATTGGTTAACACTATCCTAATTGTGCTGGTGTGGGTGAATTCCAGGAAGATCAGTTGTGCTGATGCCTGGGAGAGAATCTTCTAGCCTGGCACCCTTCCAACACCTTGGTTGCAACCTGATTAAGCAGTGCTTCCAGAAAGTCACCAAAAAATCCAAAAGATGAAGCACTTTGACTCTTACGTCAACCCTGTAAGGTATGAAACCAATAAACCCACAAGACACACAGTCCCCCAGTAGTGCTAAGACAAGGCATGATTTTAAGTACCACCAACCATCCCAATCCAAAATTCAACAACTGTGAAAACATTATTTTTTATTAAAAGTGGTGATTTTTTTTTTAAAAAATCAAATTCAAAAAAGCAACTCTTAAAAACCATTTTCTACAGTTATAGAAACAGTCAGAGGCTGTGGAGCAAATAAGCAATCATAAAGTTAAGGCAAGAGCAATTACAGAGCAAATTCACAAGAATATAATAAAGCTAGCTGGCCTATTCTAATGCTCATATCCTAGCATAGCTTCAGCATAGTCTCAGAGCAAAAATGAAGTGAGTGTCTTGCAGCAGGGCAGCAAATGAGTATAGCTTTCTCTTGAGTGATAACTAAGCCAAATTAAGTAACTTTTGTTCCCATTTTTATACCCGAAGTTCCAAGTGCTAGACTTTTCCAGAAGATCTGCCAATCAGACATGGAGTTCCTCTGAACTTTCACAAAGACGTAACTACTTACTTCTTATTTCATTCAGCTGAAACCATGTTTCTAATTAGTTCAGTACAGAGGAGTGAGCTCAGCTCGGCTTTGAAGCTCGTTCTCACAGTGATAAGCAACAGGTATTACTGCCTTCTAATTACCAGTGGGCATTCCTCCCTTCTCTTGGTTGGGTCATTCCAGGTACCAACTACAAAGCCTGATTTTCTAGAAGAGCAACAGAGTCCATGATTCCTCATTTTCCCATTTTCTTGACACACTGCTTTGTGTCTAACAAAAAAGGCTAGTGTGTATGCAAGGCCTTGCCCTTGATTATCCTCACTGTTTAGCAAAGTAAGTTAAACCATATTTAAAGTAGTGGCACATGAATTCATACTGACATTTCAGAGTTTTCAAACTATTTTGCGCTGATGACAAGGCAAGGCATGAATACTACTAGGGAAGTTTTCATGGAGCTATTCTTCAACATGTATAACAAAATCCAAACAACTTTCCCATCTAAGCAAATAAATTGTAATCCATGAAAGCTCAGAATGAAATAAATTTCTTTGTCTTTAATGTGACACAATACAATTATTTTTATGGTCGTTGCTTATTTTGTTAAATATGGATGCTATTAACATTCATTAATATTTTTGCATATGCTATAAATATCTTGATTAGTCATGAAAAAGATGAAAGGTTAGGGTTATGGTTGGAATATGAAGTAGAAAATAGCCTCAGCTGTTCAAAGCAGGTGGAATTGAGCTATTCCCCACTGAAAAGACACAGTACAGAGTGTTGATGAACCTTTAAAAGGCAAACTGAACTAGTCTATTAGCTTCATTTATGGCAATAAGAGCAAGATTAAAGCCCTGCACAGACAACAAGTGGGGTGGGGTGGCAGTGGAGCTCTAATGGAATTCATGGGTCTTCCCTTCAAGCCTAGAAGGGCAAAATGAAAACACACACATGCACAAGATGGATCACAGGTTTTTGTTTTGTTCTGTAAGTAAAGGAATACAGAGCAAAACAATCCAGACACAGAAACAATTAATCCAGGATTAACAAAAACTGTCTAAACAGTTTATCTCCCAATAAATAAGAAGGCGTCACAGTTTAGGAACCCAGTGAATAGAGCAATTGTTTAAACACAACGAAAAAGTGCTGGTGTTCAGTAGAGATGAAATGAGCATTTGAGTAAAATGAAGGAGCAATTTAAAAGCCTTTGAGAAAAATCGATAGCATGCCAGGAAGAGCAGCCTTTTTGAGCACTGATGGGCCCCTAAAGCTCTTCATACATTGTTACTGGTTTAGCAGCAGGGAAAAGAAAATTACACAGTTTGCAAGGGTAGGGTGGAATCAATACTGCAGTTAGTAAAGAGATACTATTTCACATCTGACTGGCCAGCGGCTGCCTTCAGTACCTTGTCCTGATACCTGTTTGTTAACAAGTCACTAAGGGTTGGCAAACCAGATATTCTTCAGGGCTGACACAAAAAATAGGCACTTAATTTGCTCCTCTGTGTGAACTATTGTAAAAGGATGAACACTGCAGATTAGCAGGTCAGCCTAATCCCTCATGATTTGTCGTTTCAGAAGAGCCTGAAGCTCCACTCTGTGGACAGCTGGTTGGGATGTAATATTTTTAAATTGTCAAGGAAGAAAAAGCAAGGCTTCATCATTATTAAACAATAGCATCAGGGTTGCTCAAATACTTTCCAGTTAACTGGCCACAAGACAAAAATACAACTGGAGATTCACAAAATATCACACTGACACACAGGGCTGGTTTGTGGTAATTCACCCCTTCTGTAGTGTTAACCAAAGTATTTCCCTCCACCTTGACCTGTACAAAACACTTGTACTCCTTGTACAGATTGTGGGTTTGGTCTCTTCAGGGTGACTTAAGGTTTGTAAGGCTCCCTGCCCAACTTTAGTTCCATAAATGAAGTTGATTACTCTTTTCAGAGGATGCAGATTTCAACAAAGGAAAATTCTAAAATTCAGAACCTTTCTGCAACTCAAAACAAATGTCTTAGGGCTTTCGTAGTTCATGGTCTTAAGAAATTAGAATTACTTTTCTGTCTTATCATGGTATTCATACCATTAAGCTAACTTATAGAAGTATTTTGCTATATATTTGGTCTTACAAAATAAACCATGCAAGTCTGTTGCACTGAGAAATAGCTACAATTTGGAACATTTTGCCCATCTCTATTAAGCAATGCAATAGTAATGCAATATTTTCTTTTGGTTTTAGGAAATGGCTAATAATTCATATAATACCTTTTTATGAGAATTATTTTTGATATAAATATTTTACAGTAGAATCAGATATACATCAGTATTTGGATATTAATAAGTATTGCTTCTCTTCTCTTTACAATAGGGATCTTTTTATTTCAATATTTTTAAAAAACAGAATAGTCACACTTGGATTGCCAGTTACCCTGCATGTATTTCAAACACAACAACAGATTTAATAACATATACAAACCTGGGTGCTTTTCCCTTTTCTCAAATTCATTCTTTGCTTCCTTGACTCTGTCCTCTTCATTGACAGGGATTCCAGATTCATCACGAGGTATTATTTTTCCATGAAAAGGGCACTTCAGGATGAAAAAAAAAGTATTTGTTTTAAATATCTATGTTATAGATTATTTAAAAACAGATTATTGGAGAAGTCAAGCCTGATCTGAAACGACAGGTTACCCACCTGTAATTGTAGTTCTTCGAGTGGACCTCTGTGATTCACACCCTGGGTGATCTGCACTTGTGGAGCCTCATTGGAAAGTTCTAGAGCTTCTGCGGTACCAAAAAATAAGGCCCCTCCCCCCTTATATAAGTACCTTGGTACCAAGGCTCCCCTTTCAGTTGTGTCAACCGCCGCTACATTAAGCAGAATGGCGTGACAGTGGGGAGGACAGGTGGAATGTGTGAATCACAGAGGTCCACTTGAAGAACTACAATTACAGGTGGGTAACCTGTCGTTCTTCTTCATGGCCTCTGTGAATCATACCCTGGGTGACTAAAAAGCTATCTTACCTGGAGGCAGGGTGTCAAGCCAAGGTAGAGGCTAGAACACCATGTCCAAAGGCCATATCAGACTTCTGCTAGAGATCAAGTCTATAATGCTGGACGAAAGTGGACGGCTGTTCCCAGGTGGCAGAGGTACAGACGTCTGGAAAAGGTACGCCACGTAGGAATGCCGTAAAGGTCGCCACTGCTCTGGTGGAGTGAGGGCAAATCACCTTTGGGACTGGTTTGTGTGCCAGCTGATACGCGAGGTGAATGGTTGAAGCGACCCATCTAGATATAGTTTGAGACGTCACCTGGTGACCTTTAGTAGGTAGCTGGTGACTTATGAAAAGTCGAGGTGAATGCCTGAAAGGTTGGGTGCACTGGATGTAAAAGGGAAGGGCTTGCGTTACGTCTAAAGTATGGAGGATTCTTTCCTGAGTTGTGGACTGTGACAGGAAGAAGGAAGGAAGGATAAATGACTGAGAGAGATGGAATTGAGATACGACTTTGGGGAGGAAAGAAATATCCATGGATAGTTCGACCTTGTCCGGTAAAAACTGTAAATAAGGATAGTCGTGACGTAAGGCCGTTAAATCACTAGCTCGTTGAGCTGAGGTGGCAGCGACTAGGAAAACTGTTTTAAAGGTAAGTAGCTGTAAATCAGTTGAAGCTAAAGGTCCGAAAGGAGCTTTAGTAAGTTGTTGCAGTACTGGTGCTAGTGACCATTGCGGGGGAGGCAGGCGGGTAGACATGAGATAGACCTTTAAGAAAACGTTTCAGTGTTGGATGCTTGAAGAAATCAGTTGCTGGAGAGTTAGGAGGCTGATAAGAAACTATGGCAGAGAGGTAAACTCTCAAGGAAGAGAAGGAAAGGCCGCTAGACTTGAGATGAAGCAAAAAAGGTAGAACAGTAGCAAGTGATGGGTTGATAGAATACAATGAAGAAACTTCAGTGAAAAATTTGAATCTGTTCCATTTCTACAGCTAAGCCTTTCTAGTGGAGGACTTCTTTGTTTGACGGAGGACGTTCATTAGCAAGGCAGAATCCTCCACCCTGCCAGGTGCAGAAAAGGTAAATCTGGGTGGAGTACTTGGCGTTGTTCTGCATGAGGAGGTGGAGCAGGTGAGGGAGGTGGTGAATGTCTGATGAGAGATTGTGAAGGACTGGAAACCAGGGTTGTCTTGGCCACCAAGGGGCTATAGCAATGGCATTGGGTTTGTCTTGTTGTAGGTGAACCACGACCTTGTAGAGAAGCGGGAATGGCAGAAAAAGGTAAGTGATGATCTTCGGCCATTGGCCGATGAATGCATCTCCTTGGGAGTGTTTGCCAATGCTGGGCTCGGGGGCAGTATCATTTGCACTTCCGATTCACACGGGAGGTGAAGAGGTTGAGAATTGGTTTCTCCCATCGTTCACATAGGCAAAGAAAAACTGACTGGTCTAACTCCCATTTGTGAGCTTGAGAGTTGGTGTGGCTGAGTAGATCGGCCAAGTCATTGTCGTGGCCAGCAATGTGTAAAGCCGTGAGGCAGATATGATGTGCTAGGCACCACTCCCACCAACAACTCTAATTCCTTGATGTGAAGCAATTTCTCTCTGGAAGACCACTTGTCATGGATTTTGAGAAATTTGAAGCGAGCTCCCCAGCCTGTGAGGCTGGCCGTGGTGACCTGTATTTGTGGTTGTGGATGTCGGAACAGCAGCCCGACGGATAGGTTGGGAGGAAAACACCACCACTGAAGTTGGGAGGCAATTTCTGGGGTGACCTAGAGGAGGGTCTGTGAATGGGTCAAAGAGGGTGAGAAACCACGACTGAAGAGATCTCATCTTGAGACGTACGTGCTGCACTACTGAAGTCATAGAGGCAATGGTGCCTAATACAAGTTGCACAGTCAAGGCAGGTACCATAGCATGAGGGGTGAAAACTTGAAGTAATGCAATGAGATTTTCTCTGATGTCTGGAGGAAGAAAAGTGTGAGCTTGTGTGGAATCTATGCCTATATAATGAATAATCTTTGTAGGTTTCAAATTTGATTTTTGTTTCTTGACAGCGAGACCAAGACCACGAAGGAGGGCAAAAGTGAAGTGAGTGTCTCGTTGGGCCTTGCGATGGGAATAAGCTATGAGGAGCAAATCGTCGATATATGGAAATATGAGAATTTTTTTGCAACCTGAGGTAAGCAGCTACTGGTGCCATGCACTTGGTGAATACTCTTGAAGCTGTTGCAAGGCTGAAAGGAAGCCTTTTGAATTGGTAGGCTTGTGAACCTAGCTGAAATTTAAAGAATTTTCTATGTGAAGGATGTATGGAAATACGAAAGTATGCGTCTTTGAGGTGTATGACAGTGAGCGAGTCGTTTTTTCAGAGAAAAGGGAGAACTGATTCGAGGGTAACCATACAGAATTTTGTGGTAATGATGTATTTGTTTAACTCTCGTAGGGCTAAGATAGGGCGAAGACCTTTCTCCTTTATGGTGAAATAGCAAGAGAAAAACCCTTTGTTGTGTTGTGAGACGGGTTGTATGGCGTCTTTGAGGAGTAAATTTCTTATTTCCTCTTGTAGGGTTGGAGATGATGGAGTGATGACGTGTGTTGCAGAAGGAAGTTGGAAGAAATGGATGTGGTAGCCGTCACGGATGATGGACAGTATCCAGGCATCTGTAGTGATGGATTCCCAGACAGGTAGGTGTTTCCAAAGGGCAGGATGGGTGGAGTGGTGTGTGATCTCGGTCATGGGAGTGTCAAACGTGATGTTTGGGCCTGCGCTCGTTGCCCCTAGTAATGGGTTATTGGCGGGGTTTATTTCTTTGATTTATGAAATGGGATGTATGATGTTTGTTTTGGAGCATCACGTTGGAATTTTTGGTATGAGTTGTAGGGTTGTCTCCACTAATTTTATTGGGGGCATTGCTGGTAGGATGGATAAACTCCCCAACGTCTAACTGCTGATCTTTTCTTTTTCAGGTTTTCCAAAATATCATCAGTTTCAGCATTAAAGAGGCCTGCTCTATCTAATGGAAGGTCTTCAATACATGTGTGGGCATCCTCAGCTAGGCCAGCTGTCCTTAGCCAAGAGAAACGTCATAAGGCTACTGAAGTGGCCATTGACTTTGCTGTGGTTTCTACTGTGTGCCTAGCAGAAAGCATCTGTTGTTTGACAACGGAAAGACCGTCTTGTTGAAAGGTTTGGGCGAGTACTTTTTTATCTTCTGATTAAGATTCGACAAAGGTTGACATATTGTCCCAAAGGAAATATTGATATGCACCCATGGATCCCTGGTAGTTAGCGACACGCATGGTAAACACTGCTGATGAATAAAGCTGTCTTTCCATTGAGTCAATCCTTCAACTATCTTTATTTGGTGGTATGAGGGTTTGTCGATGCAGAGATTTGGATTGTGAGACTTCGACAAAAATAGAGCTGGTTGTTTTTGAAGAAATATAGAGCTCCAGGATCATGGACTCTGTAGAGGTTATCAATTTATTTAGATATGGTATGGGAAGAGGCTAGTGTTGTTCAGGATTGTTGAGCGGTGCTGGGAAGAGACAGAAGCATCGAGATGTGTATTGGAGTAGTTGTATCTTTAGACATTGAGTTGTATAGATGACTGGCCAGTTGTGTTGAAGGACGCTGAATTTGGAGACTGAGAGACTTAGCCATATGGATCATAAGTTGGGCGTAAGTTTGAAAGTCTTCCACTGGTGATGGCGGGTCGGCATCGACAAGGTCAGATTCTGGTGAGGTAAGTAATACTGACGGCGTCTGAGGTCTGGATCCATGATCGGAATAATCGGGATCGTGTCGGGAGTCGATGGATTGTTAATAGGTTGATTATCACAGTACAGTGGTGCCTCGCTTGGTGATGTTAATCCGTTCCAGCGAAATCGCTGCAGAGCAAAATCGTCATCAAGCGGGGAAAAAACTATTGAAACACATTAAAAACCAGTAAATGCATTCCAATGTGCTAAATACCTAATCGTCTAGTGAAGATGCTCCATAGGGCGGCCATTTTCCAGAGAAAATTAAGTCCTGAAAACAGCCAGGAGCCATTTTGCACAGCAGGCGACCATGTTAAGAGCCGCTGATCAGCTGTTTTCAGATCATCGTAATGTGAAGAATCGGTTCCCGAAGCAGGGAACCAATCATCGTAAAGCGTAAATTTTCCCCATTAAAACATCATTTCCCATTAAAACCTCGTCAAGTGGATTCGTCATTTAACGAGGTAATTGTTAAGCAGGGCAGCACTGTATTGATGTTTGTGGCTCAATGTCAATGGAGGCGGCATGTCCATGGACATTTGTTGTCGATGGAGGTGGCATGCCCATGGGCATTTGTTGGTGTCGAGGATTTTCGATATCAATGTCATCCGAGTGTCCATGGATGTCATTTGATATGGTTGAACATTGGTGTCGAACTCGGGATCATAGTGATGTCGAGTTCAATGGCTTGGTTCTATTGGGTGACGGAAATCATGCGTCAATAGAGAGACAGAATGACTGTCCATGAACTAGGATAGATATCGAAGATCATCGATATCAGAGCCTGTGTCTCGGTGATGTCAAAATGGAGGTTGTTGATGAGCTGATAAAGCAGTGGAGTATATAGATGCTGGAAATGCTGAGCGAGAGGAATTATTTCCCTCATCTGGATTAGCGGGAAAATATTGGGAGGCTGGAGCTGTAAAACCCTCACGTGTAGAAGAAAACTGCTCGACCGTCTTGGGTCTTTTAGGTGGCAGGTAGGGAGCAGGTTGGAGTTGATGTGGGTCACGGTGATAGGACCGTTTCAGCATTGATAGCTGTGAAGATCGAGGCCCCCAATGAGAAGGTATGGCCGAGCTGGACAGAGCAACTGGCTGATTGGTGGTTGCAGTTTGTCCGGTTGATCAGTGGTCAGGACAAATGGCAACCTGGTGAGAGTGCTGAACACGGGTTTGAGCCATGCGTTATGAAATAGACGGCTCCAGGGGCTGATGTCTCTGAGAAGGTTGTGGTAGACAATCAGATGTTACCGACTCTAGTTGTTGTTTGGAGTCGCCCCTGTCAGGTGAAGCAACTACAGAAGGATGGCTTGAAAGAACAGAGTGTTGAGGACTGGGAGGAGAAGATGTTAATCGATTGACTCTGCCATCACATTCTGGTGATTGGGAGCAGGGTTGATGTGAGGGGATTCCATCATCGTCAGAAGGCACACCAATAGGGATTGATGCGGCAGTTGAGGCTGCTGAGAAATGACTGCAGCTTTAGATTTATGCCGTTTAGGTCTTTTAGGTGGAGAAGGCTCTGGAACCAAAGACGCTTCAGTGGACATTTGACATTTAGTGGAGGGCTTTGATATCGAGGATTTTGGTATGAAGCACTTTGATTTATGGCTTTTTAAGTTTTAGATGAAGTGGATGGAGCACTGGAGTGGGATGGCGTGATCGATGGATGTTGTTTTGAGGCTTCAGAAAGAGCCTTCTCCATTGTTTTGGTTTGTGAGGTGGCTTTACAAGGAAGTCGGGCTATTTTGGTTGGTTGAAGGGATTGTTCCCAAAGACAGAGTTTCAATCTGGATAAGTGAGAACGGAGGACTCTGCACGTGAAGTTCTTACAATGTTGGCAGGAGGACATCTGGTGTGCCTCTCCCAAGCAAAAAAGACACTTGGCGTAGCTGTTGGAGAGTGGTATTTTGTTATCACAGAACACACAGTGTTTAAACGGGCCCAAAGGAGCCATGAATAGAAAATTATTTGAGGAGAAAAATTATGAGGGGGGGGGAGAATGCTGCGGCCAGAGGCCGAACGAAGTAGAAAAACGAAAAGGAAAAAAAACCTCTGATGATAATGAATTTGATCTAAAAGTTTAAAAGGAAAAGATTGATAACAGGAAGGAATCCAGAATAAACTCTCTTTCTCTTTTACTCACAGAAGAACTATGAGACTCTCAATGCAGCGGTTGAAAGAAACTGAAAGGGGAGTCTTGGTGCCAAGGTACTTATACGAGGGGGGCACCTTATTCTAATGTGTTTTTTGCTACCGCAGAAGCTCTAGAACTTTCCGATGAGGCTCCACGCAGGCATGGATCACCCAGGGGGTGATTCACAGAGGCCACAAAGAAAAACATCTATGACATATAGGTTAGAAAAGCCATTTGGGACTTGTGGATGTGTTGACTTATCTGTATCATTTTGGATAGGAATATCCAAATAGAAAGGTGCTCCTGAGGGGCTAATCAGTGCAGGGAACTTTGCTATCACTGAAGCCATTGTTTCTCTCTGATGTGAATGTCTTTATTCCTTAAATAAAAGAATAAGACTTCTTGAATTCTTTTCTGAGCTAAATGTTTGATAAGACATCTCTAGATCTAGCAAATGTTTAATGAATATTATGTTTGCATGTGGGGAAGCTGGTGGAGAGTAAACAGACACCTCTGAAAATACTGTGAGGCAAACCAAAAGTTTTGTTTTGAGAGCCAGCAACTTTTTCAGAAGAAAAAGAGGTGAAGGCCTGTTACTGGCAAGTGACATAGGCAGACTGGAGCCCAAGCAGGATGTACTATCAGACAACTAACTGCCTGTGTGTTGGGGGGGGGGCTTAAAAAACCCCCAAAAACACTGCTGCTTGCTCCCTCATTTGCCTTGGTCACTTGTAATCTTACAATCAAAGAACAGAATAGGAAAGGGCATCAAGTCCAATTCCCTGCTCAATGCTGGGATCCAAATCAAAGTAAGTCTGATAGATGGCTGTCAAATTTTCTCTTGAATGCCTCCAGTGCTGGAGTGCTCACCACCTCCTGAACTAATTGGTTTCTCACTTACTGAGTTGCAGGGAAACAAATATTTGAGCCCCTCTGGGTTTACTCTAGCATTTAACACCCATTCAGAATTCTGGCCACTTTGTATTGAGCACTGGCCGGTTGGATCCCTTCTTCTCAAAGCAAAGACTTCGAAGTAGAGTTACATTGAAAGAACTGGAGGAGAGATTAGCCAATGTCCTGCTTGCTTCAGGTACCTGAAGACACTCTCAGTGCTGACAAACGTCTCATAGCTGATATGGACCAAAAAACTGTAGTACTGTATTGCTAACTCCGTATTTTTACTGTAATGACCTCCAAATGGAGATGCACTTGAAGATGATTCAGAGGCTTCACCAAAGGCAGAATGTAGCTGGCAGAATTGTGACTAGTACAGCCAGGTGGACTTGTATTATACTAATTTTAAAAGATATCTACTGGCTGCCTGCATGCTTCTGGGTTCAGTTCAACGTGCTGTTTACACTTAAGATCCGAAATGACTTGGTATTCACTGAGAGAGAAAAGTTCAGATAAGTGATTTTTCTATCAGTGTATTCATTAAGACAAATACCACTTTCCCCCAAATACCACCAGCTCATTGTGTGATAAGAAAGTCTGCCTTCTCTGATGAGTCACCTGCAATGTGAAACAGCTTCCCAACTGGAGATGCAAGTTGCACTGATATTATATTAGACTCTGTTCATGAGCTTCACATCTGATCACTTTGGGACAGAGACATTTCAGTGAGATGGCTTTGATCTCATTCAGGAATTCTGTTTCTAATCATGTGCTATATTGTGCTGAACAGCTCAAACACTGCTCTGAATTGTACGTTTTTCATTTATGTATCTGATCTGTGTCCTGTTCATTCTTCAGAGAAGCTTAGAGTTGCATGCATTCTGTTATCCTCTTGATAACCTGCTAGGACAATTAATTCTGTTAAATATCACTAAGCGATCTTCATTCCTGGAGGTTTTGAAAACAAAGCCTTTCAGTTCACAGCTACATCCAGCAAATCATATCACATGTTTCAAACTTTTTACTCTTATGCACCAGGATTTTTTAAAAGTGCACATAAGTTTTAGGGTATCTATGACCTTTGTGAAAAGCCCAGTGTTCTATTACAAAAGAGACCAAGTTATTTACAGCCACAGCATGTTACATTTGCTTCTCCACATCACTGTCCATCAAAAATATCCTCAACAGCAATAAATTTGTTGCAATAGTTTTTTTGTCTTGTGATTTTAAAATCTGTTTTTAAAAATTGTGTTTATGGCAAGCAGGTGAAATTTGGCAACATTGTTTACATTTTTTTTTCAGGTGAAAATGCTGCTGCAGTTCTAACTCTATGTGGGTTTGGCAACAATATGTGACTACCACAAGCGGAACATGCTGAATTTCATTATAGACTCACCTTAAACCTATCCTGCCTTTCACAAAGATTTCCATTAGGCATCGGTGCCCGACATTTATGTTTCACTGGTTCAAACTTGCCAGCAAAGGTTATGTATCTGCTTTTCAGCAACTCTGCAATTTCTTTGTTTTCCACTTCTTCTTCAACTTCATTGGGTGCCCAAAAGCGGTGCTGAGAAGAAAATCTAGCAAACAGAACACAATCACAACAAAGCACTGTATTCTGCTTTGAAGGCAGGCACATTGTACAGAATCATTATAATAGATTTTTCCCATTATAAAACCATGAGAATAGACTTTTCCTATTATATAAACCATGCTCCGAAGAGTGATTTTAAACATTAACCCTTACTTGACTGGAAACACAGACACAAACTACATGAGTTTTTAAAATCTAAATTTTACACTTGGTCTGCAAATATATTAATCTAAAATACAACTACAATTTCAAAAGGACTCCAAGGGATTTACTTCTAGGAATGCTTGCAGATTTTGTTGTCTGCATTTTGAAGGAACCAATCTGTTTTGCGCTCTGCGAATACATGGATCACAATGCAGTTATCCTTTGGGATTTTTCACTTCACCAAAAGCTAAAATACAGTTGTGTTCAAGGAATGTCTTCTGAATACTTAACATAGTAATAAAGATGGATGCACATATGTTTAAGATAACTTGACTTAATGTATAAAGTGCTGCTACATTCATCCAAAAGTTATGCTCTAGTCTTGCTTTATGCTTGTCACACAAGAGTGTGGACTGAGTAACAGTGATCTGAATTTGCCTGACATCACTAGATGTATTGTTTGGTGCCATTTCAGGTTCATATCTTTACCACTGGGGTTTGTGCTTTCTCTCCTGGGCTAAATATATTGATTCCCATGACAATGGGTCTTGTTTCAGGGGAATTCTAATTTTTAGTTTGTGAAGATCTCATATATTAATAATATACAAATACACCCTGCAGACAGAGAACCAGCATATAAGCCAGTACAATTCTATGCTAGCATCTTTTTTTTTGTGGGCATAATAATCTTTTCTTCCTTAATTATTAGATTGATTCAAATATAGTGGAATTGAGAAAAACTACACAATGTGTATGCAGATCAGTTCTCAGGCTGTAAGGAAGTGCAGCTAAAACACTTTGTCATGCCTTGTTCCTGTAGACAGGAAATGTTATCACAGGATACAACACTGGGATGACAATCCCTGGATGCAGGGATTCCTTTGTGAATGAGTACTCTGGCATGTCCCAACAGGTTTGGAATCTGACTCTAAAGTAGTCTATGAACGAGAAGTGACAAGAAAGTTATTTTACTAAAACTTTTAGAAGTAGCATGGATTCGGAAGCTTTTTTTTAAAATGGATGTAAGTACAAAGTGAACACATAGTTGCTTTATATTTTTATGTCTGAGCGAATTCTACATAATTTTGTTGTTAACATCTTATGCCCCCTGGTGGACTGAGAATACCTTTACCTTTGAAAGTTTTCACATATTTGTATCTTCCAATTACATTACAGTGGTGCCTCGCTTAACGTTTGCTTCGTTTAACGTTTTTTCCGCTTAACGTTTATTTTTTCAGAGGCAGATTGTGCTTCGTATAACGTTTTTCCCTATGGGCGATTTTCGCATAGCGTTTTTGGGACCATGCTTCGCTTAACGTTTTTGGTTTTAGGTCCCCTGCTTCGCTTAACGTTTTTTTTGTTTTCAATTTAAAAAGTGTCTTAGAAGGGTCCAAAACGGTTCTAAATGCTTGGATTCGTTAGAGGACCCCTTAAGTCATGTGCAAACCTGATTTGGCTTTGATCTGAACTTTCGTTAATTTTTTGTAAATTGTTTTCTCCCCCATAGGAAAGCATGGAGCTGTCAGATTTTGACAGGTCCATTGGTTCCTATGGGCCAAAAAACAAAAATTCACAAAAAATTAACGAAACGTCAGAGCAAAGCCAAATCAGGTTTGCACATGACTTAAGGGGTCCTCTAACGAATCCAAGCATTTAGAACCGTTTTGGACCCTTCTAAGACACTTTTTAAATTGAAAACAAAAAAAACGTTAAGCGAAGCAGGGGACCTAAAACCAAAAACGTTAAGCGAAGCATGGTCCCAAAAACGCTATGCGAAAATCGCCCAAAAAATTCACCATTAATTAACGAAAAGTCAGATCAAAGCCAAATTAACTTTTGCATCCGTTTTAGAGGGTGCAGAAGCTAATCCAAGCATTTAAAACCATTTTTGACCCTTTTATGACACACTTAATTTTGCAAAAATTGACTTCGCAAAGCCATTGAAACGTATTGAGTCAGCTACAATACCTTCCAATGGAGGATACATTGTATCGTTTAACGATGTTTCCTATGGGTTTTTTCGCTTAAGGACGGCAATCCGTGCCTATTGGAACAGATTAACCGGTTTCCAATGCATCTCTATGGGAAATGGTGTTTCGCATAGTTTTTTTCGCATAAGGTTTTTTTTTTTTTGGAACCAATTAAAAACGTTATGCGAGGCACCACTGTACTAGTCTTTCTTATATCTAGTTCATAAAATCGTTTATTGGCAGTATAGCCTGTGCAACTTTATGTTCATAATGGTAGTAAACCATGCAGACACAGCGTTTTAAAGTATTTTAGCAATTTTCATAAATGAAAAGACATAAAATAAATAAATCCTAGCAATTAGGCACAAATGACGTCAACAGGATTAATTAAATTTTCCTGACATGGTCACTGAAGAATCCCTTACAGTGGATGTTTTTTAACTTATTCATAATACTGTCTGATTTCTAAGGTAAATAGCTCAGTTTATTTGCAGTTTTTTTTTACAATTAGTACAAGTAAAAGACTCCACCCTCCCAAACTCTTCACCTCATGAACTTCACTGGTGAACATTTATGGTAATAACAAAGGCTGGCATTTCAGCCTCTGTTCATCTCTGCAGCATGGAATCCAGAATTTATCACAAAACATCAAGTTTGCTAAACTTGGTTTTCAACTTTTAACACACTTTCTACTACCTATAGTTGTACAGAGCAAATTTTAAATAAAATGAACTGCTAGCATTGTTTGTGTCAGCTATCTCTGTTTGTATCTATTCTTTAGATCCACCACACTCCCTCTGAGTTGTGCAGTATGCACAGATGGCCCAGCTTTGTTTCACTACTTAGGAAGGCATGGAGCCGCACAACTGACTTACGTAGTGTTTCCCCAATACCTTCTCAGGCACTAAGGACAGGACATCAGATCTGCACTGCTTTTTGCATTCTCTGAAATACCACAGGAGAGGAACAAGATCTTGCCCCTCTTCCAAGTGCATGGACTGGAGGAGTCAGAAGAATGAAGAAACCTCAAGTAAAGCTTCCTATGAAGCTAAGTTAAAAAGGGTTGAAATTTAGAAACCATCTGCTTATTATTAGCAATCTGAATGAACATCATCTGTTTCTTAGTACTACCTGTTCTATCTGACTCTCCTATATTCTAGGATAAGGAATGCAGCAAATTATATCCTCAATAATGTTGTCAATAAAATATTTGTTATTTATTAAAACTGCCACAAGTAAATTGGTATATAGGCACATGCTTTTGTTACTGGGCAAGCACCGGGAATATAGGAAACTTTATTAGTCAAACTATTAGTCCATCTAGCCAATACTATTGGCATGAACCAATAGTGCCTTTGTGCTTTCCAGGTTCACTAACATCTGGAGTTCACTGACATCAGTGAAGCCACTTGTATGGAAAGCATGTACTTTACCAATTTGCTATGAACTTTTCAATAATCCTTATGGTCTATGGAAGACTAGCTAAAGGCCCTTTCTGTAATATTTTTTCTGTGTATACTGACAGAATATGACAACACAGGGTCATTCCTGTGATCTGGTATAAGGCTGCCTGTACAATTTGTCAATACAATTCAAATGTGAAAGCAGTGTGGTGTACTTGACAAAGTGACAGATGAGGACCACCTATTCCCAAATTGAAATGCTTGCTCCATTAAGAAGCTCACTGGATGATCTTGGACTGTCAATTTAGAGACTGCTTCCACATCTCCCAGCATCATTGTCTTTTACAAGAAAGTGATGACTTCCTAAATTCCCAGACATGGGCCCCAGATATTCCTGGATTACAACTTCCAAAAGTCCTGACCATAGATTGTATTCATTAGGGTTTCTGGGAGTTATGGTTCATGAAGATTTGGGGCTCCAAGTTTAGGAACCACTAGTATGGGCCCAGGAATTCAACAGCTTCCATCTCCTACAACACAGAAACCAAGAATGATAGCAAAATAATAGGTAGTTTTGTTATATTGAAATTATCTTGTTAAACACATACTAATTATAATACTTTGATTATGAAGGAAGGTTATGCAAATGTGCAGCTCTGAGACATCCAGGTGCTTGAAATAAAGTATGGATATGCTTTTCTATTTGATAACTAGATATTACTTTTTAAAATATAAATATTTATATTTTACTCTCTGGTTTTTATAGCTTAAATTTCAGTTGAAATGCTGTGAATCATTTAAGTAAAGTGGGTGAATTACTTTGCTCAATTCCATTTCTAAAAGGAACAATTAAGAGGTACTGGAAATCCATGTAGTCAAAACTTAATTTTTGAACTACTGGATGGAATACAAATGGCCTTTTCCCTGCGTGTACAAACACCACTTGCCAGAAGACTCTTTAAAATATGATCACATCAAGGGAAGAAATAGTTAATTATTTTAGAAGAAAATGTGAGACAATATACTTACTTAAGAATCTTGCTAGAAGATTCTGGTTGCTCTTGGCCCCAGTAAAAAAGATCCAACCCAAAAGGCACAAAAGGAGCCTTGGCTTTTTCGTCTTCACACGTATTGTTCCTCTCCCCAGAAGCTGTTGGCTCAGAATTTCTAGATACACTTGATTAAAAGAGACAAAGGTTTATGTCACCTTCATTATTAAGAGTTGTAACACAAATTCACTAACACTTTATACATAAATCTGCATACAACTTACCTTGACAAGCTGGAAGTTAAAGACAAACAGAACAAATAATCACATATTCATCATGTCTGTACATTCACACCTATTCTGGCACAGATAAGCATGAAACACTGAATAGACATGTGGTGTGAAGTTTTTTACTATGTTTATCTGCTTTTCACTTTTTAAAAAAATAGTGACAATCTGTAGTGAAAATTAGATTTATAGAAAATGCATTGGTTCTACTATAAACAGCTGTCTCTTAATTCACAAAGCTCTCAAAAATCCAGAACTAGCAAATTCTTTATGCTTCTTGAACCCTATTTAACTGATTCCCACAAAATTTTGCCTTTGTTGCCTTTCAGTTTCAAAAATACACACTGGGGGAACAAACTTTGGTATTTCAAAGCAAGGAAATGCATATCAAAAGTCACAATTTCTTCACTACAGAGAATGAAGCAATCTGTAAACAAAAAAAAACTTATGCTTAACATGCTTTGTTAGTCTTTAAGATGCCACAAACCTTTCTAACTTTTTACAAGAAACTCCTTTCAAAATATTGTCTGTCTGGGAGCACAGCTGAAGTACTACTATCCCATGCTTTCTACAGCTTGTTATGGTTATAGTTTCAATGAATGCATCTGTGAGTATAATGCACAAATGCATGCACAAACACATAATCATAAACATGTACACTCATATATACATAGGTATCTATTAACCTGTCATCTGTAGCTTGACTCCTCGGTAGTTTATCTTGGATGATTTTCCATGTAGCTGCTGCGCAGGTTGGATCACATTCTTCTTCATTTCTTTTAGGATGGAACTGGGAGGTCGGTATAGATGTCTTCTTTACTATCCCAACTGCTAAGGGTTTTGGAGGTATTGCAGGCTCCAGACCTGCAGGAAAAAAAAAGACAAATATGCCAGTAAATAAACCTTTACTGAAACTATTTAGGATGATGATAAATAAGCAACCCATTATCTTAAAGAAAGGGCTGATTAGTTTATATAGGGCAACTTAAGAAGCAAACACTCAAAGTAAAATTTTGCTCCAGTAAGTAGGATGCATCACTCCAGTGGGTTGAAGTTGCAACTGAACTCATCATCAAGAAGAAACATACCTGCTTTCAGATAGCAGTGATACTTCATTCCTTAAAAAAAATCCACTACCGTATTTTTCGCTCCATAAGACGCACCTCTCCACAAGACGCACCAAATTTTTAGAAGAAAACAGGAAAAAAATAATTTGTTTTCTTCTCCTAAAAATTGGTGAGCCTTATGGAGAGGTCCATCTTATGGAACAATCACACCTCAATCACACTTGCACCTTTGAAGGATGCGCAAACTGATATAGAACAAGTTAAAAGGAGGACAACAGGAATAATCAGAGGACAGGAAACCAAGTCCTATGAAGAGACTGAAAAAAACTGGGCATGTTTAGCCTTGAGAAAAGAAGAATGAAGGGCAATATGACAGTACTCTTCAAATACAGTGGTGCCTCACACAACGATGTTAATCGGATCCAAAAAAATCAACGTTGTGTGAAACATCGTTCTGTGAAACACCATTTCCCATAGGAATGCATTGAAAACCGGTTAATCCGTTCCAATTGGAACGGATTGCCATCTTTAAGTGAAAAAAAAAAACCCATAGGAAACATCGTTGAGTGAAACAATGTTTCCTCCATTGGAATGTATTGAAGCCGACTCAATACATTTCAATGGCTTTGCAAAGTCCATTTCTGCTCATTTAAAAGTGCCTTACAATGCTTGGAACAGGTTTTAAATGCGTGCAATCGTTAGCCCACCTCCTGAACCCTATGCAAACTTAATTTGGTGTTGTTCTGAGTCGTCTTTAATTTTTGGTGATTTTTTTAATTTTCTCTCATTGGAATGCACTGGACAGAAAGTTCCAAACATTGTAAGACCCTTAAAAATGAGCGAAAACGGAAGAGCTTAAATGCATTGAACTGTCCATTCAATTGATTTAAATGGGGAAAATAAAAAAAATCAAAAAGGGACATTGTTAAGTGAAATTCCCCCATAGAGAACATCGTTAAACGATGGGGGAAATTCCTCAAAAAAACCCATCGCTGTGTGAATTCATCGTTGTATGAAGCAATCGTTGTGCGAGGCACCACTGTACTTCAAAGGCTGTCACATAGACGGGCAGGCTCTGTTCTCAATCATTCCAGAGCGTAGGACAAATACTAATCGGCTCAAATTACAGGAAGCCAGATTTCAACTGAGTACAGTAGACCCTCAACTTACGAAGGTCCCTACTTATGAAATTTCGAGGTACAAAAAGCTCTGACCGCAAAATTTTAGTTCGACTTGCGGCTGGAGCTTCAACCTACGAAAGGCAGGTGGAAAGGGTGGGAAATTCAAAGCAGCCCCCGCTGTCCTCTTGTCTCCTGTCCCCAGTGCCCTCAGGCAGAGGGCACTGGGGACAGGAGACAAGAGGGCAGCGGGTGCAGCTTTCTAAGCCCTGAAAGCTGGCAGTGGGCGCAGAGCGGCTTTCGGCTTCCAAAGCTGCACTGCTGCCCTCTGTCTCTTGTCCCCGGTACCCTCTGCTCCTGTCCCTAAGGGGAAAGGAGGCAGAAGGGATAGAAGGCAGAGGGCACTAGGTGCAGCTTCATAAGCCCGGGATTTTTTTCTTTGGCTGGAACGTATTAAATGGTTTTCAGTGCATTCCTATGGGAAATGGACCCTCAACCTACAGAATTTTTGACCTGCGGCCACAGTTCCAATACGGATTAATTCCATAAGTCGAGGGTCCACTGTATCAGGGAAGAAACTGTAAATGTTAGAACAATACAAGGATGGAATCATTTACTCCAGGAGATGGTGAGCACTCCAATACAAGAGGCATTCAAGAAAACACTAGACAGCCAGCTGTCAGATATACTTTAACTTGGATTCCGGCACTGAGCAGAGGGTTAGATTCAATGGCCTTATAGGCCCCTCTGAACTCCATTGTTTTATGATTTCATTGCATCTCCGTACATTATGTATAGAGAAATGTAAGCACTGACTAGGGTGGATGGGGGGACAGTGTAGCAAAAATCTGGAACACCGTACAATAGTATCCTTAGTGACCTATATTGGCGCATGCAAATTCTTGGGTGTGCAATCCAGCTTACAACATGTAATATAGCAGTCAGTAGGAGAATATGTCATCTAGTACTAGAAAGGGAGGAGGTGGAAGAGGGCCTGGCGTGTTCTGGTCCATGGGGTCATGAAAAGTCGGACACGACTTAACGACTAAACAACCAGAAGGAAATAAAATCACATCAGCCACATGACAGACAGGAGCATAGTTTAAATGAAATGCACATTCAAAGGAGAATACTTCCTGCATTACACTTCATTTTACAGCCTTTCCAAAGTCTCTGCCAATATGACAATTTGGATAATCTGTGCCATTGGTAATGGGATTTAATTAAGTGAAACAAAAGTACAGAACATTTGTGCGAGCATCCCTGTTACAGTCAAGTTTAGTATTAATTCATCATGTTTCAGTTTACTGATGAAGAAATGAAATATTCAGAAGGTTTTTTTAATTGTTGAACAATAGAGACCTCCTTTCTACAATTCAGTAAAGAAAACCAACAGCAGACAACTATGGATGGTAAGAAATCCTAACAACTTGGTTAGAATTAACTTACTACTTCCATTTTAAGCAATAAAAAAGGAAAATAAAATACTAACTTATAATAATCATATTCTCTTAGTTAGATAAGTTTAAAGCAAATTAACTAAAATGCTAGGTATCAATTTTGATTAATAACATTTAGAAATACTCACCTGCTACAAATTACAATTCTTGGGCAGAAAGCATGCCTATATAAGAAAGAGGATGAGGCTTTAAAAGTGAAATGCTTTGTATTATCCCCTTGTAAGAATACTCTGGCTCATATTTCTTCTAAATTTTCCTTTCAGGATTTTAAAAATATAAATATAAATTCCCCCCCCTTTTTTTGTTTAAATTGACCAAATGGCACCTATTTACTTTTTGCAATAAAGTAGACAGTGTTAAAGAGATAAATCAATAATAGGAAATAGAGAGGCTTGGGTTTCAGCTGAAAGTTAGGCTGCTGAATGCTGACATTATTGATTTCAGCTAGTTCAGCTGGCCTTGTAATTAAAATGTAAATTTGAGAAAGAGATTATGTCCTAACAGAAATGGTGGGATTAGGAAGAGATAAAAGCTCCTAAAAGAAAATTCAGCAGAAGCAGAACAGGTTTCACCAACCATTTGGATTTAAGAGAATCAAAAGAAACATTAATATATGTTTAAAATAAAAGGGAAAAGCACAAAACAATAATTAAATAATATGAATAACATTTTTGAAGAACAGAGCTTTGCCACTTCCACTCTCCAAGTTTTGTTTTGCACACAACTCAGGCTAATTCAAAACACACAACTGTTATTAATATACGTTGGAATATAAAGAATTCTTCCAGGTACGCCCAAACGCTGACATGACATGGAGAATTTTCTTTATTTCCTCAACCCTTTCCTCTCTTAATAAAACGTGGTGGTGGAAAAACTTGTATACACACAACATAGTCATCTCTGATCAATTTTCACACTTCTATTAAAAATACTTATAATACTTCAAGATCCTGTCCACCATTTCCTTCCGTTTTACTCAAAAGTGTTAGAATCTCATTCAACAATATTCACATACAAATGGAGACTTGTAAAAACTTAATTACGGCAATTGTTTAGTTGCTGTCAAATCACCTGCAATTAGCGGTGACCCTGTGAATGAGTAATTTCCAAAATGTACTGTACTCTACTAAACTCTTGTAAATTCAAGCATGTGGTTCCTCTTCTCATATTTGGTCTTCATCTTTTCCTGGCTCCCTCCTTTCCCGCTACCATCATCTTTTCCAGAGAAGCTTGCCTTCTCATGATTCGCCCAAAGTCAGTTGGCCTCTGTTTCATCATTTTTACCTCCAGAGATAGTTTATGTTTTTATTTGCACTAGGATCTACTTGTTCATCTTTCTGGCATTCCAGGGTATCAAATCTTTCCTCCAGACCATATTTCAAATGATCTACTTTTTTCTTCCATTTTCACAAAAAGTCATTTCAAGTCATTATTGCTTTCTGCTGGTAAGATGGTATCTTCCGCATATTTAAATTATTGACCTTACTTCCACATTTTAACGCTACATTCATTTGAATCTCGTCTAGGTTTCCTTAAATGTTCTGCATATGGATTGAACAGATAAAGACAAAATGCACCCTTTTTGGACATTTTTTCTTGTGGAAAACCATTCTGTCTCTTCATATTCTGTCCCAACAGTAGCTTCTTGTCCACAATACAAATTATGTATCAAGACAATCAAGTGCTGAGGTACACTCATTTCTTCCAGAACAATCTATAGCTTCTCAGGATCCACAGAGTTAGTTTGCTGTAGTCAATAAAGTAAGTATGGATCTTCTTTTGAAATGCTTTTATGTGCTCCATCAGCCAGCAGATATCTGCAATATGATTTCAAATCCCTCTTCCTTTTCAAAATCTAGGCTGAACAATTGGCATTTCTTGCTCCATATAAGGTAAAAATATTTGCTGCAACACACTTTGAGCTTCACTTTGCTTGCATGGAAAATCAGAGTAATGGTTTTGCAGTTACTGCATTCCTTGACATCTCCTTTCTTGGGGATTATCATGTATACTGAACATTTCCAGTCTGTACGCCATAATTTTGTTTCCTATAATTATTGGCATATTCTTATCGGGATTCTGACAGATTCAATCCATGTGACTTGGAACAGTTCTATTGCTATTCCATCTACCCCAGTGATTTGTTTCTTCTTAGTGGTTTCAGAGAAGGCTTCACTTCCTTTTTTAGAACTGCAGGTTCTTGTCATAGGATTCCTCCT